AAAAAAAGGAAAAGTTTCCAGGAAAGAAGGATGCTGGGGGTGAAACGCTATGAGGTTTCAGRTGAACAGAGCTGCTTAAAATGAACTCCTTTTGATTAAAGGAAACCTAATTTTGGAAGGGTCAAGCTTGACATAAGACAGATTTACACTGGCCTAAAAAGAGCAAAAAAACCAACATCCCATGGCAGAAGAGCAGCACAGCCCCTGCGAGAGCCCAGCAGTGCCCAGTCCCTTCTGCAGCTCCGTTAAAACACAAATAAAAACAAACATCAAACTAAACCTTATTGGGGACCTTAATTCTTCAGTACAAAAGGGACCAAAGCAGCCTTTCTGTCCTAAAAAGCTTCAAAACCGAGAGCTCCAGAAAAGCCAAGAATCACTTTTGGATCAATCACAGAATGTCCTGAGCTGGGAGGGACTCAYAGRGACCACTCTGTCCAACCCCAGCCCTGCACAAACACCCMAAAAATCCCACCCTGGGCATCACYRAGAACTCCTGGAGCTCTGGCAGCCTTGGGGAGCCTGGGCAGTGTCCCAGCACCTTCTGGGGGAGGAATTTGTCCCTGAGATCCAACCTCAGCCTGTCCTGTCACAGCTCCAGCCATTCCTTAAGCCCTGTCCCAAAGCAGAGTCCAGCAGCGCCTGCCCCTCTAGAGCCCCTCAAGAAGGATTTCCCGAGGAGTTTCYCCTTCCACCCCATCCCATCCATCTTCTATTTCAGCACAGGAAAGCAGAGAAGCCACCACAGAGGGACCGGACACAGAAATTCTGCACCCCCGGGGAAAAGGGGACACGGGAGCGGCTGTGCCGGGGATCCCGCTCACCCCAATAACACCAGACCCACGCACAAGTAATTCACAAGAATTTAAAAAAAAAAAAAAAATAAAAAAAAAAAAAAAAAAACAAAAAAAAAAAAACAGAAGAGCTTTGGTTTGGCCCCAGACTTTGACAGTCTCCGGAGCAGCGAAATAAGAGATAAAAGAGCCAAACCCCACGCCGGTGTCACGTTCCTGCCCCCGGTTTTCCCAGCACGGAGCGCCCGCACCGAATCGCGGAGCCAGCGGCGGCTTTTGCTCGCCCCCAACCCACGGCCCCGAGCCGAACCCCCMGGAATCGCCATTGATCCACATTCACGGCCCATTTAAGCCCCGCGGTGGCGGTGAATCCCCGCCGGGAGCCCCGGGGTGCGGAGGGACCGGGGA